TTATGTCCAGTTACAAACAGGGCATGCAGATGGAACTAAGCCTGTGGGAAGTCTTAAGACATGAATCTTGCTTCTTGCTGGAACAATTAGGTTACCAATTTAGCAAGGAAAGCCTAACTCATACTGGGAGTGGGGGTTAAATTCTGTGTCTTTCATACCCTGGCCAGGTGACTTGGGTGGCAACACTTCAGTAACTAAATGGGGTAAGGACAGTACCCTCTTTGGAAGGATTAATGAGATAATACATACAAAGGATCCAAGTCTCTGTTGTCTGTGTTTCTTCCCATCCCTAAGAGACACACAGTGATATTTAGATTTCCAAAATGAAGTTTGTCTTTCTATAACATGTGGAACTATTCAGTATTTGGAGGGAATCTTGTTCGGGGTACATCAGGCACATACTAAAGAGTTAAGAAATGTCTCCTGGTAGGCCTTGTTATCATCCTTGAACACTGAAATAGTCCATGATCAAAAGGAAGGACAATTAAATATGCGGTTTAAAATAACTAAGGAAGACACAATACCCAATGCCAAAAAAAAAGAGATTTTGGAGGACACATACATGCTCTGCTCTTTGAATGACTTGGGAACAAGATTAACCTGCATGAAAAATTAGAAACCAACTCTCAAGATAAAAAGGCAACTGTCATGTGGAGATGTCAGGAAGTCATTGAGGCCCCTGGGGTAGGACAGGCATTCCCAAATGATGGAAGTTCAGGATGCATGTGTCAGTAACGTATCTACTGATGTGCTCCAGAGTTGAGCAGGGAAAGGAGAACAAATTCATTTTCTTACCTGAAAAATAGAAAATTGAGGGAGAAAACACTAGAAATCCTACTCTCTTCTTTCAAGGTTCAGTTTACATCAAGCAGCTGCTTCCGACAAAGCCTTTCTCGATACTCTGACCAGATGGGAACCAGCAGGTGATTACAGGTGTGGATACTAAAGGCTCAGGATCCAGGGTGGAAAACTTCACGAAATTTTCCAAACTTGCACAAGACCTCAAAACATAAGGTCTTGCATGGAATTAGGACTTTATGGGCCAGGCCTGAGTCATCAATCTGGGTTCTAGGAGAACGTCTGCCTTTGAAGATGCCTGGAAGCTCTGGAAAGATAAAGCAGGTTGTCCCATGACCACCACACAGCCCCTGTGATGGGGACTGTCATAGTCACAGAGAAGCCGTTTTGGTCATTTTCTCTGGGCTCTCATTGTGAGCGCTTGACAACATCTGTACCTGTCATGTCAACTGTACATGTCAACCAAATCTTGAGTCCCTTACTATCTGCAGCTCAAAGCTTGTTTCTCAAGTTCTCAAGATAGCACAGGTAGTGCGATTTGACATCAGAACTTTTCTTTAGATGGGAATGATGCCACCCTCCTTGATCAGAGTGAGGATGGCCTGCTGTGAAGGCTGCTACCTAGCTGCCACTGAGGATATTCACATGTGACCATGATGCTGAGACTTGAACAGCCTCTTCATTTTTTTCAAATTAATAGTTGAGCTGCTCAAAAACAAATAGAAAGTAAGGAAACCCATGTATTGTGGTTTTAATGTGAAATGTACCCCATAAACTAATATGTACAAACATTTAGTCCTCAAGAGGTGGAGCCTTCCCGGAGGAAATAGAACACCTAAGGCAGGCTTTGGGGACTTTACCAGCTTGGCCCCAGCTCCTATCTTCTCTCTTATTTCTGATTGTGAGCACAACACTTCTGCCATGCCTTCTCTGGCTATGATGGGCTGTAGCTCCCACAACTATAAACTAAACTAAACACCTCCTCCTTAAGTTACTTCTAGTCAGGTAGCTGGTCACGGCAATAAGAAGATAGTTAGGCCGGGCAGGTGTGGCCCATGCCTTCGATACTAGCACTTGGGAGGCAGAAACAGGCAGATCTCTGTGAGTTCAAGGCCAACCTGGTCTACTGAGCAAGTTCAAGGACAGCTTCCAAAGCTACAGAGAAACCCTGTCTCGAAAAAACACAAAAAAAAAGAAAGAAAGAAAGGAAAGAAAGAAAGAAGGAAAAAATGAATGAAGGAAGAAAAGTAATTAAAAGGTTGTGCCTCTGTGGGAAGAAATAGCTATCCTCTCCTTTACAGCCTGAAGTAGAAGAACAATGGCAGAGCACAGCAGAGAGACTGGTGTTCCCAAAACACAGGCAACTGTGACTGAAACCATATTTGGAGAAAGGATCTTTGTGGATTTAATCAGGTTAAGGGAGTTGAGATGAGCTCCTCCCATATAATCCATGTGTCATGAACTCAATGCAAAGTGACTCTACAGGAGAGAGAAGAAGAAAAGACAAGGGCAAGGAGAGGAGGCCATAGGAAGACAAAGGCTGAGATGGAGTCTCATGCCAGCATCTCAGAAGCAACTTAAAGAAGAAAGGGTTTGTCTTGCCTTACAGTTTCTGGAGATGCCATCCATCACAGGAGGAAAGACATGGAGTGTGGGCCAGTCACCAACCACACTGGGTCCACAGTCAAGCAGGGAGAAGATGGGAGATGGGATCAGGCTATAAAACCTCAAGGCCTGCCCCTGGTGACAAACTGTGGAGCACCAGACACTAGAGGAGGTGGGAATGATCTTCAACTGGCACCTTCCAAGGGAGTGCAGCCCTACGTACGACATGTGAAACTTGGGCCTTGGCCTCCAAAACTGTGATACAATAAGATTCTACCATTCTGAAGGCCCCAGTTACAGTTATTCCCCAGCACATGTCTAAGCACATAAAGTGTCTAGAAATGTAGACTGTAAACCTCAGTCTCTAAGACATAAAAGGACAGGGCATTCTCAAGCCAATCCAGGATTTATTGCTAAAACTCTGTTTCTCTGGCAAACCCCTGGAGGTCATGGTCTCTCACCAAGCAGCTTGAATAGAAGAAGATACGGGGAGAAGCTACCTAAACAAAGGCCTCCTCCCTCCCCACCCAGCACTACAGTCACTTAGGGAAAGCCCAGTTTGTGGAGAATCTGTCCTTTACATGCTTTCTATAGTGATTTAAAAAGCATTACAAAACACAAGAACCTGCCATAACAGTGGCAATAGAAGGGGAAAAAAAAGGCCTTCAAATCCCAGAAGCTGTGCTGGGAAGAGGCAGCCCTGGGCCCTCCCTATTGCCCACCCTTTATCAATGAAGAATTGGGTGGGAAATGTAAGGTTATTTTGTGGGCAGGATTGTTTCCTTAAGCAGCCCTGTTTGCACATGAACACATTTAGTGCATACAAATGAAATCTTTAACCTGCCACTTTATCACTGTTAGATATCTGTTAAATAACAGATATCTAAACACCAGTTGCCTGCACGATATCAATGTAGACGAGACAGAAGCATTACTATCCAACTCACTTAAAAAAAAACAGCTGGTTTGATTTTTGATGTTTTTATTTGGTTGCATAAAGATTCAGTCAATATCTGCAAGGACCAGGGACAATAACGATAAGAATAACAGTTGCTGCATCATTATTGAGCACTTACCAAGTGTGATGCACTGTGCTAAGCATCTAAGAGGTGATAATCCATTTAATTGTTCCCAAAGCATGATCAGATGAAAATTAAAATGATGACCTTGTAAATTGGTTAAATGGAGCTCAGGGGTTTTGAATGACTTATCCCAGCTCACAGGCTGCAGATTTGGGATTCCAACCAAGTTTCTATGCTGCTTGTGACAGTCACACCATGCAAGCTTCCCTAGTGAAAAGACATGGAGTTCCACAATTAGAACCCAAGGTTGCAGCTGCAGGACCTGGAGGAGGGGTGGCTACGGAGTCACACCTTCTAGACCTTGCCAGTTATAGTACATAAGCTGCTTTAATAGAAATGTAAGTTGCCTTAGGATGCATTTGTGTATGTGTGTGTAGTGTGTGTGTGTGTGTGTGTGTGTGTGTGTGTGTGTGCTTGTGTGTATGAATATACATGTACATGTGTGCATACATGTGTGCCTGCTTGTGTGCAGTATTCATTGCATATTGTGAATACATGTATATTTGTGTGTGGATGTGTATGCTATATGTACTACATGCTGTATGTGTTCATGTGTGCATACTTGTGTTCGTACGTTCATCTTTTTGAAGGTAAGAGGAGAGGTTATGGCACAAGCTGTGGTGAACAGTTCTCCAGAAGAGTAGCCTGAGGGGTTCTCGCTACTTGAACACTGGTCTCCAGTTCTAAAACAGCAGTTTTCAATCTGTGGTTCATGACCCCTTTGGGGTCACATATCAGATATCCTGTATATCAGATAGTTACATTACGATTCATAACAGTAGGAAAATTGCAGTTATAAATTGTAACAAAATAACTATTTGGTGGTGGGAAGGGGGAGTCACCACAACATGAGGAAAAGTATAAAAGGGCCATATCATTAGGAAGGTTGAGAGTCATTGTCTAAAAAGAAAGCAGACCAATATGAACGTAAATCCCCCTTCAAGTCTTTCAGGATGTCTCCCATTAAGTTTCACCTGAATGTTTCCTCTGAGATTGCTGCTATTCAGAACAAGAATAAGAAGGAACTGTATGTTTTCATGTAAAAGTTATTTGCTCAATAAAGGGCACAGGGCAGGCACCTGGCTCAGACACAGGGCAGCGACCTGCTTAGACACAGAGAAGTGACCTGCTCAGACACAAGGTGGGGACCTATTCAAACATAGGGTATAGACCTGCTTTGGCACAAGAAAGTGACCTACTCAGACACAGGACAGGGGCCTACTCAGATGTAGAGCAGGGACTTTCTCAGACACCAGGTAGGAACCTGCCCAGATACAGAGCAAGGACCAAATCAGGCACAAGCTGGACTTCCAGCAAAGGCAATGCTGGGGGGTTAATTCCTCAAACCCAACTCCTTCCTAACATCCTGGACCAAGGAGAAGCAGGCAGCAGGCAAGTTGGGCTCCTCTGGAGAACTATGCAAGGCAGAGCTAAGGAGACGGGTATGCAATAGCCAGCAGTCACAAGTTGCTTCTGTCCAGCGCATCAAAGAGCACTGATGCTTGTGTCTTACAGGACTTTGCAGACCCTGTGTCCCAGCTGGTCACACAGAAGTTCCGTGAACTGACAGTCGGTCTGACATCTGTGTATGCCCGCCACAAAACACTGGCAGGAATCGTCATGACAAAAGGTAACTACCTTTCTTTTCCTGTGGGAATTTTTGTCTCCACAGAAAGAAATGTTAATATTAGCCTGGTTCTAGGAGTCGAAGGATGCTTCCTACCATGTAGAGATGGACAAAGGAAGACAATGTAGAATACAAAGATATCAGTGGCCACTGTTACTATCAGAACAACCCCACTGGCAACATTGTGAAGACTTTTGATGCTTATCTTTATTCCCATGAATTCCATAAGGCATTTATGCATACCTTCCCTTTCAAGAATGACACTGGTATTGGTAAAAGCTTGAATCAGAGGCCAGGCTACCATATATCACTTGAAGCTGACAGATATGGAGGTGTCCTCCTTGTCTGTCACTTCTAAAGTGTCTAAGATTGGTGAGTAATGAAATCACTCATACAGAAGGAGCACACTCCATGAGTGTGTACACAGAGCAGAAAGATGGAGCCAGTGTGCACAAAAGAAGTCAGGTGTGGAGGTGGACTGTCCAAGGGATGCTGGCTGTCAAAATATCTTCTTCTCTCACCTAAGAATATCAGTGGGCCCTTTTCAGTGTACATTCTTCAGTGTACATTGATTCCCACCAGTAGAAGGCTGTGAGAAACAACGGAGGAGACACCAAAGGGACATAAGAGGATACAAAAGATCAATGAAGTAATACAGCATGGACAAAAAGGAGCACAAGAGATAGTGAGGATATATGGGAATCAGCGCACAGTAGACACAGAAACACGGGGGACATGGAATGATATAAAGGGACATGGAGAACAGGAGAGGATATGGAGAAGAGGGAAAGACTCAGAGGGATACAAGACTCTGGAGTACATTTCAAAGTATCTGCCTCCTGTGTGTTTTAAGATTCTCTTGCCAGGGTATACACTACTGGGTGGAAGTCCTCCTTCTTATCCATACTCATCATTCCAATATTCTCTCAGAAATGCAATTCCATTCTATAAAACAAGGAAGACATGACCTGATAGGAGGTCACTGCTACTATATGCCAGGTGGGGAGAAAATGATGACTGGATTTGAACAATCAGATTTCTGACATTTTCTAATTATTAACAAATGTAACTAATCATCTGGTTGTGTAAACTCAACCATTTTTTTCTCCAAAGCAAAGAACAATTATCATAAAATAAAAATTATCTGGGAGCAATAAAAGGTTCACAATAACCCATGACTTTGTATAGGTAGGCAACTTCTAGGACTAAAAAACACTATCTGGTGTCCAAAATTAGAAAATGAAAACAAAATCAAATGATTGTCTGAGTTTCCCTGTCACTCTAGACACCTAGGAATCACTCCAATATTCGAGAACAAAGGAGCCAGAAAACAAACCCTCAGGTCCCATCGTATGCCTGGCATAGTGTGTACATGATCCAGCCTTTCCAATTCCTCCATCTTAACAAAGTGGAAATCACAATGCTTCCTCACAGAGTGACTTGTAAGATAAAGTACATCAAATGCTTTGAAAGGTGAAAATCACTTTATAAACAGAATATTCTGCTCTAAGGCGAAGCAATTCGCTTTTTTCAATGATATCATTGTATGTGGTGTCATGCATACGCCTGAGCCACTATGAGGGCTGCCCACCCCCTTTCACACATTGAACAGCATCTGTCCCTTAAAAACAGGAAATGTTCTAAATCAACCTCTGCCAAGACCATTTCCATCAGGTGCAATCTTGTATCTACCCAGCCACTAATCCTGTTTGCAGTCACCACCATTCTACATGAAAAGACTCCACCTCCCAATCAAAATTTAATGGCTCATTGAGGAAGCCAAAAAATGAATCCAGCTCCATATAAAGCTAGTTCTGTGACTGGAGGCAGGGTACTTGGCTTCTCTATGACTTGGTTTTCTTACTCATAAAAATGAGAATAATATAAGGAATACCTACCTACCTAGTAGAGTTACAGTGAAGGTTAAATGTGTATATGTGCAATGCACATGGAAGTCTTGCTGGTTAGGCTTTACTGTCAACTTGACACAACCTAGATTCACCTGGAAAGAGTCTTTTTATGCTTTTGTTGATTTATTGAGAAGTTAATATAACGTAGTTTAGTCATATTCTTTTCTCTCACCCAACTCCTCTCTCTCTATCTCTCTCTCTCTCTTCCTCTCTCTCTCTCTTAAAAAACAAAGCACACACACACAAAGAAACATGGAGTGTGAATTGTGTTAGCCAAGGGTCTTAATGGGAGATTATCTAGATCAGATAATCCTGTAGGCTTGTCTGTGTGAGACTGTCTTGATTTTTAATTGATATAAGAAGACCCAGCCTATTGTGAGAGGCACTGTAATGATAACTCTTTCCGCCAGCCACCTGAGTTCCACCGCCACATTAGGGCCCCCAAATAACACACAGAGTTTAATATTAGTTACAATGCTGCTGGCCAATGACTGGGATTTCTTATTTCCTAGCTCTGTCTTAAGTATCAACCATAACCATTAATCTATATATTTTATAAAGATTTATCTTATTGAGGACGCCAGAGGCATGAGTCCTCTCTTCCGGAGATCACATGGCAACTCTCCTTTTTACTACATTTCCCAGAATCCTCCTCAGCTCCTAGCCCAACCTATCTTGCTTCCAATTGGCCAACAGTACTTTATTTATCAACCAATAAGACAAACATATACACAGAAGGACTTCCCCCATCAAGACACCATTCCCTAGACAGGGGTTCCTGAACAGCATAAGAGACAAGAAATTTAGATGACACTAAGCAGGTAAAGAAATGGGCCCTCACACATTTACAGCTCTACGTTTTCCTCACTGCGAATGTGATGTGACTAACGGCTTGAGTTGTTGCCGTGACTTCCCTCAATGACAGACGGTAACCTGTATTGTAAGCTGAACAAACCTTTCCTCCTCTAAGCTGCCATTTGCTAAGATATTTATCAGAGCAACAGAAATGAAGCTAGAAAAGAGTTCTAATCCTTAGTAAGAAACAAGTAATGTTCATTAGGAATCATGCTATCTTTAATGCACAAGTTGTTAGCTGAGTACCAACAATACGAAGGTTCTGGGGAAACAGCAAAATTTAAAACTGACCAAGTGCCTACTCTTAGGAAATCTGATTATCAACTGGGAAATGTATCATTTAAAAAAAAAACATAAAACCAATACAAAATAATCCTAAGAGAATATCATACACAGAGTCTCAAAACACACAAATAAAACTTGGGCCATTTTTTAAAATGTAAAGTGCCTCATAGCTTTCTGTCTCAGGTTTCTGCCAAGACAATTCAGCAGGAAAGGTCAGACAGACAGACAGATACATGCACATACAGAGAGAGAGAGAGAGAGAGAGAGAGAGAGAGAGAGAGAGAGAAAGACTCCTCTTTTCTCTTGTGCAATACATGGTCTAAAAGTCTACATGAGTGTGATTCTGTGAGTTGGTTTCCAACTGTTTCCCGCTCTGATTATCTTTCCACTTTCATAGGAAACTCAAAATGGCTATTTTTGGAAGCTGTTTTGAGACTTCATACAAAAAGTAGTTGTGTTTCACAAGGGCTTGTGAAAAGATAATGCTTCAGTTGCCAGCAAGTGCACTGTTTTCTACACAGGGATATATTTATTTATGGAAACTAAATTCATTATGTGAAAGAGAGTCTTTACAAGGTAAGGCTTTATAACTAGTGAAAGACCCGCTCGGAATGCCCCTGAGCCCCCTGCCCCGAAGCTGCCGGGGCCTCCCAAGCCTTCACCCCGGCAGGGCTCGCGCCCCCGGCCCGCCCCGCCTGGCACCTCGCCTCGGGGCTGGGGCCGAGCAACGAGCACCAGGTGGGCTGGCACGAGGGCGAACACCAAGTGAGCCGGCCTAGCCCCCGCCCGATGAGAAACACTCCGTCCCAAGGTCTCTGCCCCCAAGGTCGTCCATCAGGACGCGGAGGGGGGGAATTGAGTCTGTTGTACCAGACACCAGACCTTGAGAATATGCTGATCTGGAATGGCTCTGTGTATCATTTGAACCATCCAATGGAAATGCTTATGTCTTTTGCCTTCTTTGAAGGCAGCTGTGTTTCCCCTCATTCTCACACTGTCATTTGAATAACCCTGCATAGCGCCTCATTTACATTGACCAATGGGAATAGCTCTGTATGATGCCTCATTAGAATTATCCAATAGAATCCCTGCTTCTAGCTTGCGCCTTTTTCCCTATATAAGGACCCCTCTCCCTTGGCTCGGGGCGCTTAGCCACACAGAAGCTAAGTCGCCCAGGTACCCGTATCTCCAATAAAGCCTCTTGCGGTTTTGCATCCAAGTTCATGGTCTCGCTGATTCCTGGGTGCGGGTCTCCCTCTACGAAAGTACCTCTTCGGGGGGTCTTTCACTAGTTGTCTGTGAACCCTGGAGTATCAGTTGTGGGAATTTGCTTCCCTGTTATAAGGGGTATAGTTAATAAACTTTAATTTAGAGACAATTATAAAGAAATATGCAAAATAATGAATAAAATATTTGTAAATATTCATTTACTCTAATTTGATGTGCTGTGTGATCTTAACTCAGGTTCAGTTATTCAAGCAAATGACTCAGGAATTCTAAGAGATAGTGGTGTGTTTGCTATACCAATTACAATGCAATAAATTAAACTGATTCTGAAATAAACTTCATTCAGTTTTCACTATTTGCAAAAGGAATATTATTTTTTAGCCATTATGAGGAATACTATTGGGAAAACATGTACTTATGAACAGACTGATTTTTTAAAATCTTCATCTAGTTAGCCCAATCCTATGATAAAAATTCAAATATGAAATAACTTAAGAATAAAAACTAATACTCCCCAATTTCATTGTTCACCATTTCTACCCAACTGAATTTGTTTTATTAATCCTTTGAGTTCTACATACACAAAATATATTTTGATTATATTCATCCATAACTTCTTCAAGATCTTACTCCATTCCCAACTTCATGTCCATATTTTTTAACCTGCTAAGTCCAGTTTGTGATACACATACGAATGGATGTAAGGCCATCCACTGAAGTGTGGTC